TCGACACTATTGCTTGTTGCAAGACATTGTCTAGGGTTGTGTTTGCTTTACTCTGCGACTATTATTACTACCTGACAAGAAGTTTTGTGGATACCATAAATTGAATAATATTCTTCAACTTAAGGGACATCAACTGTTTAAATAGAGGAACCATACCTCACATACAATCAATGGGTACTCTAGACAATCTTTACTTTGTAGTAATGGCTCTGTCAGTACAAGAGTTGCTTCTAGAAATAGCGGCTATTTTAGAAACCTATTCAACACCCAAATATGGGCAAGTTTATTAACTCTTTATCCCATTTATTTGGCATCCATTGATATACATTGTTATTCACTGTGGTATCTTAACAATGATTAAATTAATCCATTGGTAGTCTTTGAGCAATTTGTGTGTATTGATATCTTAATCTGTTTTTGCGCATCTTGTAGGCTGTTAGGCACACCATTATTCTGATGCAACCATCCCAAAACAGGAGCCCCAGGACGCTCATGGATTATAATTCAATTAACCATGCATTGGATGGTAAGTGTAGTTTCTTTAAGGAACCTGTGCTGCAACCTATGTTTTTAAAGCGTCCCTAAGGCGACGCCTAGGCGACGCCTAGGCGTCGAAGCGCTCCCCCTCCGCTTTGGAAAATTGACCGCTTTGGGCGCCTAGGCGCCAACGCGCCCCCCTCCCTAAGGCGGTAAGGCGTCGCCTTAAAAACATAGGCTGCAACATTCAAACAACTGGCCCAAATAATATTATTAGCATGATCATAGTGATTACCATGTCAGTTGGAGATTTTGTGTAGTTGCTCACTTGCTCTTATGTTTTGCATTTGGAACCTCATTCATTTTTCCCTCATTAACAAGTCTTTCCCCTCAGTTTTGGCTGTGTTAAAGATGATTAGTTTAAAATTGCAATAACGATCACCCTGTGCCTATCCCATCCTATTATTAGTTGGAGGCACGGTCAATATTTAAGGCTCTATCTGTCTATGCATTAAACTTGTGAGTGCTCGAGTTTTAGGAAACCAAAGACGAACTGGGTAGCTCAGTGGCAGTGTATCAAACCAGAATTATTCCATTGAAAAAGACCAATGTTTCCTGTTCCCTACTCTATGCTCAACTGCTCACTACCAAACCGATGGTTACGTCATATGCCGTAATAGAGTCAGAATTCCTTTTTCTTCCGAATTGCTACCACTATGGAAATGTCAGGAATCTGTGGTCTCTATGAAAGGAAAATCAGGGATATCAACCCAATGATCCCGAACATAACCTATGACATCACCGACCTGTACAACTTCATCGACGGCCTAGCTGACATCAGTGTGCTAGTGTGAGTATAATATAACTTTGAAGATCATCAATCATTATTAGATCACTACGGGCAAAAGTTGATTCACATGTTACTGTCCAGAGTTTAAACATATCTATGTTTTCTGCTTGCAGCTATGATCATGAAATCCATGCGTTTCTGCCGTATGACTGGCAGTGGATAAAGCAGAAGTTGTTTCAGCACCTTAAGAAGCTGGCTCAAAGATAGTGACTGGTGCGTGGTGTTGGTTCAGTATGCCGTGACCGGCAAGCATGTGTGATAATTTGTTTCCAATTAGTGCACCAGAAAGCCTTTTCTTGTACAATGATGAGAATTTCACATGGCATGCTTATATTCTACTCCCTCTGTTCCTAAATATAAGTCCTTTTAGAGATCCCAATGCGGACTACATATGGAGCAAAATGAGTGAATCTACACTCTAAAATATGTCTATATACATCCGTATGTAGTCCGTATTGAAATCCCTAAAAAAGACTTATATTTAGAAACGGAGGGAGTAGGTGTGAAACTCATAGGTTGATGGTGGTTATATAGGGTCATGTTATAATTATATTAGGCATGAAGAAAATAAGTTATTATTCACTCCAAACTTGCATATTTGTTGTTGGAGTTTTATGTTTGTTCCAGTTGACACTAAAACATACTTGCATCAGCTATGTCATTTTTACGAGGTTGTATGCAGCCAACAGCATGCTGCAATCATTTTTTCTATGTACAATCCGCACTGAAACACACGATATGCACTGTCCTTACAAGTGGGCAATGCAGGACCTGTCTGTCAACGACTTCAACGAGGACGAGATCGAGGCTTGAGCTCCGCTTCTCTGTCCTGTCCACAGCAAGTTATGCATGCTTACCTTTTCTCTGCCCAGGTTGAATCCTGCACCCATGCTAGGTAACCTCTTTTTTTCTTGATGTTGGACAATGCACTTTTGGATGTTTGATGAATTGTTTCTCGCCAATGCTTCAAATCTAACTACAAGGAATTTCCTCTGGAATATTTGACAATTTACTAACAGGAGAAGTCTTCATTTAGTATGTCTTGCATGGTCATGTTGCTCTTTTAAATTGTGGTTGTGAAGGATGATATCCCGGAGAAGAGCTACATTGGCTCCTTTGGTTAATTGTTTAATGTGTGCTTGACTGTTTTCTACTAGCATTGAGCATAGATGAACGGCACCATGTCGGCGAGGAGTAGCAGCAGTAGGTCGGCTCAGTCCGAATGGCAATTTTCTTTGTTGTTTTCTATTATTCAACCACATATGTTCGTCTCTTTCTAATGGCCCATGTAACTTCAAAATCTGCAGTGCCATATTTACTTGCACTTTGTTCATAGGATTGCTGCTACATTCTGAGCACAACCTTTGATGTTTTTTGTTTCACTTGTGCTTAGGCCAATTCCAACCCTCGACCCCAAAGGGACGTCCGGTTTGTCCGGATTTTGCCCGTTCGGGTAGGCAAAACGGACACGTGCGTCCGCTCGTGGTCGTGCAGCTGTCGGTGTGCCCAACTGGTCCACCGCATCCCAAACTGTCCGCCTTTTGGACTTAGAAATTTGACCCTCAAACAAACCCAAATAGACATTGCAAATAATTTTAAAATATTAATATAAACATTAACGTCAACAAAAGTCCAGTCCAATACATTTCTTAACTAAACTTAAAATTAAAAGACAAAAAAGTAGATAAGGTCGTTGCCACTGTGGCTTTCGTCGTCTTTAGTTGTTGTCGTCCTCGTCGTCGTCCCCGGTGAGGTCGACGTACGGCGGTGGCTGCCAGAGGTCGGCTGGCGGCCTCTTCCAGGTCGGAGGCGCATGCTATGGCGCCTGCGGTGGCGCATGCACAACCTCTGATTGTGGCGGTGACGGTGACCACGTGCCAGTGTCCACCCACCCGGGCTTCGGCATGCACGACACCGTATCCGTCCATGACAAGGACTGGCCGACCAAGGTCGGGTTCCATGCCGCCGGCTCCTCCTCGCGCACGTCCTCCATGGCCTCCTCCTTGACGACTGCGTCGAGCTTTGGGATGGCGACGTCGCCGACCGCGGGGTGGGCCTATCATCTCCTCGAGGCCCTACCATTGGTGCTCGTCATGGGTGCAGACGGAGTCCTCTATCACTAGCCTCATGAGCTCCTCCTTGGTGGTCATCGGAGCAGGTGGTGGCGAGGACGGTGAAGGAGTGGGCGTGAGGCCGCGAACCAGCCTACGCCCATGCGCCCGCGGCTGACTGGGAGGACGACCGGCAAAAAGGATTGCCGTTATAGATCGTGCTCGTCGCGGAGCCATGTATCCCACGGCAGGGAGTCCACGGCATACCTTGCGTCGTGGAAGAGGTCCGGCGGCAGGCAGGCGCGGCGGCGGTCGATCTCCTCGCGGCGGCCGCGGCCGCTCACTGAGATCGGTGGAATGGGCACCCGATCCGCAGAGAGATGCCAGTTATTGGGGAGGTGCATGTCGCTCCCCGGCAACGGTGTGCCGGTCTCCCAATAACGCTTGCATATCTCCGCCTTGGTGTACAGCCACATGCGAGGAGCGGTCACCGACGGTGACATGTGGAACGCTGGAGGAGCGGCTGCAATGGTCGGAGGACGACCCGACCTCGTGGTCGTGCTTCCCCTTGCGGCCGGGATCCAATGCCAGCCCATTCCGCCGTCTGCGAGGTGGAGGAAAGGCGGACAGAGCTAGGGTTTGGGCATGTCGGGCTTCAAGGAGGCACGCGTTGTCGGGAGTGGAAGTGTGGATTGACAGGTCCATGACTTCCACATTAAAAAGGACGCCGACCCCACGGCTGGGAGGCTGACAGGCGGCGCGCACGCGCGCCCCGCTCGTGCGCCGTAAATGCGAGCGGTGGGAGGTAGGTGGGCGGCTACAACATGGGCCCGAGGCAGATGCGGAGCGGACACGTTAACGTTCGTTCGCTGTTCGTCTGGACGCATACCGGGCGTAATTTTGTGCCGGAAATGGAGCGGGCTGGACGTCACACGGACAAAAAATGAAGATGGGGTTGCGTGTTGGGCCGTGGCGTCCCTTTGGGCCACAGACACCCCGGACCGGATGGTGTCGTGTGTTGAAGTTGGCCTTATAGGCTCACAATCTACCTGCATGACGCACATGACCCCTGCGTCGCTCTCATGGGCGACACGGGGGGAGACCCAGCCGCCGGCCACCTCAAGCCCCTTGTGCACCACGCTTGTGCACCACATCGAAAGGTGTCTATAAGGGTTTCTATTGTGTTCCCAAGCAAAAAACTCACAATGCAAAGGTTTCAGAATAAAGGTAGAATATCACATGAAACCCAACATTGAATGTAGGAAACCGATGAAAACCACACGAAAACGTTGTTTTAAAGTTTCAGAAAGGATTAAAAAAGATGAGATGATAAGAGGGTGATGCCCTATATCCATGCGAAAATTCAAGTTTAAACACATTACGAGATGCGAGCTATAAAAAGAAATCATCATTACATAGTGTCGAACAGTAACATCACTATTCATGCTGAGTTTGTTTTTTTATAGCTCATATCCGGTAATGTGATTTAGAGTTTGGGGCGCCTATAGAACATTACCCTCTTAACATCAAATATATATTTTCAGTTTTTTTTAAACTTTCAAAATTAGCTTTTATGATTTTTTTGAAGGTTGGTTTTCATGTGATATTATCCTGAGAATAAAATGGGCCACCGGAGGCGCCCACGCCCTCGGTCGTTGGTCTTCGGCCTACACGGCACTCGTCGACTCTCCACAAGATCTCATCGTAGTTCTATACTCCGTGGCTGCACAAAACCGCGTGAACTCGACGATTTGGACAGAAACGGCGATTTGGAAAATGAAGTCGTGAACCTGGGATCATGGATAGGTACTGGTGACAATTGTTGCTTTCGCAGCTTATATTACATTTGGCCATCGTGCGCCATTATTATTCAGAGGAAAAGGGAACTTGATGAGGACGTACCGGACCACACACTCGTTGCTGCAGCCACTATAAATATTATCGGGCACAATTATTATTCAATTCGTATTACTAGCACCAGGAGCTGCAGCTTAATTAATTGTTCATTCGCTCCAGCAATTCAGCAGCCACAATGGCATCCGCCGCTAGCTCCAACAACACCGCCACGCCCGACCTCGACCTGGAAGCGCAAGTGCCCACGGTGAGCGAGATCGCGCGGTCCGTGTTCCCAGGGGCTTCCCCGACGAAGGCGCAGCTCGCAACCTCTCTCTGGGCAGTGGGTTCTGCCAGTTTCGCGTTCGGCATGAGCACCGCCTTCCACCCGCCGCAGGCCGGACCAATCTTCGGTCCTGTTTTCTGCTACCTCATCCTCGCCGTGGTCGTCGCCACCGCCGCCGCCGAGATGGCGACGTCCGTCTTTCTGCACATCCCGGCCCTCTCCGGCAAGCCGCGCCTCCAGGCCTTCGCGAGGCGTCTTCTGCCGTGCGGGTACCTTGTCCTCCTCGTCTCCGTCTCCGCCAGCGGCCTCGCCATCCCATTCAAGCCCTGATGACCCAAGTACTACACGCTAGTCCAAGCTACTCAAGAGTCCGGTGCTGCAAGTGGTATTGTGGAAATATATGCGGAGGTGAGTTGGTCCTACAAATAATCCTAACCGGTTCTGGCATCTTAGAGAACACGGAGTGTTGTTCGATCGAGTATATATATCTGCTTTGCTATGCTATATGCTAGTACTAGTTGCTAGGTGCAGGCTAGGTTGGCCATATATTTACACATGTGTATATGATTCTTTTATCTCGCCAAAAAAAAGTATACAGGATTCTTTTATGGTGGTTTTGTATGTATAATTCTTTGCATCAGGGTATCTGTACCGTGATAATTAGAAGAATAAAGAGATTCCGTGTTTTTTTTTTCGGGGAGTGTGTATTTTATATGTGTTCGATCCGCAAGCTGTAGTACTCCGATCAACTATACTGTACAAGTTAAATTTTCCTAGAAAAGTATACAATTTAAATATTCTAAAAAAAGCTGTGCAGGTTAAATCCTTGGGTGTGATACTTATTTGCTTGTTCCGGAAATATACTGGAAATGGTGAAGATTAATTTGGCGTGGATTCTTCTTCCGGTGTAGATTAATTTAGTTGTCCAGGCCGATCCATTTCAGACTTTCAGGCCTCCTTTAGTTTGGAGAAATTTCATAGAAATTTTAGAGGATAGGAATTTTATAGAATTTTTTCCTTTAGAGCCCTTTGGTTCATAGGAATAGATTCCTATTCGTACATAGGATTGGTTTCTATCCTTCACATTTCATAGGAAAATAAAAATAAGCCTAGACTCAATGAAAAAATTCCTTTGGTATCAATCAAATGACATCTCGTTTCCTATTCCTACTCATAGGATTTGAGATATATGCCATTCATTTCCTACAAAATTCCTATTCCTATGATAATCTTATCCTATGAACCAAAAAAGGCCTCAGACACATGGCGCAGACACGCTGAGCAAGTTTTTCAACTAGCGACCTCTTTTTTTTTTTTGAGAAACAGCGACCCCTCATAATCATAAAGAAAAGAAAAAAGTTGTCCAACTAGTGAACGTGGACCTATCCGGACAGGGTCGCACGGCACGGCCCGGCCCAGTCGGAGCCGACGTCACCCCACACTTAACCCTAGAACAACCCCAAAAAAACAAAAAACAAAAACTTAACCCTAGAACATCTTCCAGACGCCTCCCTGCTCGCCCTCTCGCTCTCGCCTACTCGGCAAACCAGCGACGGCGACCGCTCTTCACCGCTGCCCCCCTTCTCCTCTCCTCTCCTCTCCTCTCGGGCATCGGCAGATCTGCGCGGGCCACTATCCTCTCCTTCCCGACAGTCCTTCCTAGCAATGGTGAGCCCCCTGTCCTCTCTTTCGTCTAGGTGACCTCCTTCCATGTATACCACCGCCGCAAGAATTTGTGCGGCCACTGAGGTCAGGTGAAGTTCCCTTGGAAGCCTAGGTTGGTTGGTTATAGTCTGTAGATTGGAGGAGTTCGTAGAATCTAAACTCGTGTCTCCTTTTGTTTTTTTTCCGCTAATGCACTGCCTGCTGCCGGCTAGTTAGGGTGCATCTTCCATGTTTCCAGCTGCTATTATTTCTAAGCATATATATTGTTAAAAAAAGAGCTAGGTGTTAATTGTACGTTTTGCCACAGCATTGCGCTTTTCTGACCAAAACCCACCCTTATGCACAGATTAAGCGCAATTAAGCGCTTTGCATATAGAAAAGTAGGTTATATAGAAAATGTTTATATAACCGCAATCAACGGCCTTGCACAGATTAAGCGCAATTAAGCACTTTGCGTTTTTCTGACCAAAACCCACCCTAGAGCCTAGGCATGCCTTTTTTAACTATGAGCATATAGAAAAGTAAGTTATGTATAGCCTTTTAGGTTTTAAGCTGAGAAAAGGGACTATGGGAGGATGTGTTGAGCCGAGCCGAGCCGTGGCCTATCCGAAGACGTTGATGATCACCTAGCGCTATTGATTAACGTGGGAACGCATGCCACTGTGAATGTTTGTGCTAAGGTTTGAGTCTGTCCCCGGGTCGGATTCAGATCCTTTTATTCCTTTTGTAATTCCATAGATATGGATGTCTCGACTGCCGAATCCGAATCCTTAGAACAACTGGATTTCGTTCATTCACTGCCCATTTTCATATAGTCTTTTCTTTCTTTGTAGCTAAGCAATAATGTTTGGTACAAGAAAAGGCGTAGATAATGTGCATTGATTTTGAGTTCGATTCGAAGTAACTAGTTTCCACGTTTCTCCTGTAACCTACTGTTTAGGGGCGGTTGTGTCTGGGGTGTCTGGATCAGCATGTGCACCGTGTATATATTCTCTTTGGAGATTGGTGGTGACCGCAAAAAAATTACTTCTTTCCTGAGTTCTTGGAACTCAACCCATATCTTCCACAATCGGCCGATTCCCGTCATGCCACAGCACATCACCCTCGACAACATTGTGCATATATTGGCCGCCCGCCTAACGTACCTTTTGGATTATATACAACATGGCTTGTGAAACAAAGTATACTCACAATTCTTTCAAAAATGGCTAATCTCATGTCGGATGCGTACCAGTGCAACATAGCTTAGAAAAAGAGCCTTTTGACTTAAATATAAAGATGGCTGCGGAACAAAGTATTTTGTTTGTGGTATTTCCCCCCTTATGTATTTCACCTGAAGTACTTATGCTATGGTCTATGGGCAAGGAGGCAATCAGGGCATATTATCAAAAAAAAGTTAATTTCGGCAAGAAAAAGAAATATCTGATATTTAGGCCCAGTATTAAAGATCGAGTGCTGCTTATTTACTTATTATCCATCTTGCCATCAGTTATGCTTAAACACTTCCTACAAAATGCACATGAAAAGCTTTCCTGCAATTTAGAAGAGCATAGTTATTGGCTTGCACAATATGAGAATTTACCTTTCAAGCAGAGCATGTAGTTACTGCCAGGAAGTAATGCCTGCTATCTGAATCATTATTCAAAATTTTCTGCTTCCCCTTTCTTAAGAGTTGCCATCATCAATGTGATGCGTAGTCGATCTTACCTATATTAGGAAACAATGTGTCGGCATAAAATCGCAACTACCTTACGTGCGCACAATCTGAAGAGTTGCAAAAGGCATCGTTTGGTGCTGTGAGGAAGCCTGAGGCTGTAGGCAGCTGGCGGCGCATCAAACTTCTCCCGTGAGGAATCAACAGTGTGGAGGAAGGAGAGGAGGCAGCATGGGGAAGAAAGGATGAAGGAGAGAACATTGTATTGTGGTACCTGTCTGGTTGCTGGCACTGCTGCTGCTTGCCTGCTCATGGAGTTAGGGCTAGCGGAAATGGGGACGGGGGTGGAGTCGGCTGCATGGAAGAGAATCTTGGGGGAGCCCTAACTTCGTGTTGTGTGCATATGCGTCGTTCTGGTGCTTTAATGGACTGGGCAGTCTACACTGACTCCTTTTTATTCTCTTAATATTTTCTTTCACGAATATGTGCCTTCTTCAACCTTCCGCATTCTTAGACCTCCACCTAGCCTGCGCTTAAGCGGGGTAGGCGGTAGGCACTAAGCGGCCATCCAGCAGCTGCCTCGAGGATCTAGCATGTTGTTGGACCTTGATATGAAATTTTTACTTTTTCTCAAACAGAACGAAAGCTATTTGGTGATTGCATGACTAAGTATGTTATCAATACTATTGCTTGTTGCAAGACATCGTATTGGGTTGCGTTTGCTTCACTCTACAACTATTATTACTACCTGACAAGAAGTTTTGTGGATATGATAATTGCATAATATCCTTCAACTTAGGAATATCATGGTATCAATCAAGCTGTTTAAACAGAGGAACCATACCTCACATGCTATCAATGGGTACTCCAGACAATCTTCACTTTTGTAGTACTGGCTCTGTTAGTACAAGAGTTGCATCTAGAAATAGCGGCTATTTTAGAAACCTATTTAGCACTCAGATATGGAGAAGTTTATTAAATCTTTATCCCACTTATTTAGCAACCATTAATATACATTGCTGTTCACTGTGGTATCTTAACAAAGATTAAAATTAATCCATTGGTAATGTTGTAGCAATTTGTGTGTGTTGATATCTTAATCTCTTTTTGCGCATATTGTAGGCTGGGAGGCACACCATTATTCTGATGCAACCATCCCAAAACAGGAGCTCCAGGACGTTCATGGATTATAATTCAATTAACCATGCATTGGATGGTACGTGTAGTTTCTTTATGGAACCTGTGCTGCAATGTTCAATTAACTAGCCCAGTTAATATTATTAGCATGATCATAGTGATCACCATGTGAACTGGAGATTTTGTGTAGTTGCTCTTATGTTTTGCATTTGCAACCTCTTCCGTTTTTTCCTCATTAACAAGTCTTTCCCCTCAGTTTTGGCTGTGTTAAAAATGACTAGTTTAAAATTTTAATAATGATCAGCCTGTGCCTATCCTATCCTATTATTAGTTGCAGGCATGGTCAATATTTAAGGCTCTATCTGTCTATGCATTAAACTATTGAGTGCTCGAGTTTTAGGAAACCAAAGATGAACTGGGTAGCTCCTCTGTGGCAGTGTATCAAATTAGAAGTATTCTAGTGAGAAGGACCAATGTTTCATGTTCCCTACTCTATGCCCAACTGCTCGCTACTAAAGTGATGGTTATGTCATATGCCGTAATAGAAAACAAATTCTTTTTTTCCCTCCAGAATTGCTTGTTGTTTCATTTTTGTTTTGTAAATTCGTTAACTGTTTGCTACCGCTCCATGGAAATGTCAGGAATCTGTGGTCTCTATGAAAGGAAAATCAGGGATATCAACCCAATGATCCCGAACATAACCTATGACATCACCGACCTGTACAACTTCATCGACGGCCTAGCTGACATCAGTGCGCTAGTGTGAGTACAATATAACTTTTAAGACCATCAATCGTTATTAGATCGCTGCGGGGCAAAGTTGATTCACATGTTCCTGTCCAGAGTTTAAACATATATCTATGTTTTCTGTTTGCAGATATGATCATGAAATCCATGCGTTTCTGCCATATGACCGGCAGTGGATAAAGCAGAAGCTGTTTCAGCACCTTAAGAAGCTGGCTCAAAGATAGTGACTGGTGTGTGGTGTTTGGTTCAGTATGTCATCACCGGCAGGCATGTGTGATAATTTGTGTCCGATTAGTCCACCACAAGGGTTTTTCTTGTACAATGATGAGAATTTCACATGGCATGCTTATATTCTGGGTGTGAAACTCATAGGTTGATGGTGGTTTGCCTCCGGCACCCTATATATATGAGATGAACATTATATTTGTTGTTTTACAAGTGTCTGTGCGTCAACGAATGCTTCAGGTTCCAATCTTGGCGGCGCGTCAGGTGCAACCTCATAGTAGGTCTTTATCCTGCAAGGCTTTAAGTTCAGCCAATCAAGAAGAACGTCAAAGTCGTTCCCCCTCGATCAAGATGAACCTGTTGATCCTTGCACTCCAATTGAAAAATACTGTACTCCCCCGTTTTTAAAAAGAAGGTTTATAATTTTTGGATAGAGTCAAATGATTAATACTTTGATCAAGCTTGTAGAAAATAATCAACAACTACAATATTGAACAAATATAATATGAAAAAATATATTTTATAGTGTATCTATTAATTTGGTATCATAGGTCTTGATAGCTTTTGCTACAGACTTGAACAAACTTTATACCGTTTGACTAAATAAGAAATTTGTAGGC